TAATGTAATGCAAATTTCAGCAACAAGTAAGCAGGAAACAATTTAAATTTTGATTATGAAACATATTTCACACATAATGTACTGTGGCAGCTTTTAAACCATACTGTATCATACTGTATATACAGTATATTTATACAGTATACAATCACACTGCAGTTCTTGGTAGTGTTCTCTACTGTTTCGGTACATCTCTGGATATGACATCATATGATTCATGTGGAATGTCGGGAGACGAGACCCAGCAGGTGTTTTGTTTTGATTATACTATGAATCATCCAAGGTTTTGAAATGATAAAATAATCAAATTTTTGTTGAGTTTGCACGAAAGAAAGTGGTACCCTATGAGAAGTGGCGTACTGCTTGCAAAGTAGCTGATTTTAACAAACTTGAAGAGCTTATTTTTGCTTGAAGAATTTAAAATTTGTCAGCCTGACTGTACTGTAGCTTATTTCAATGAGCAGGAAGTTACATTACCTTGCTCTTACAAATCAAAATGATTTGATATTATCTAGCCATTTCCAAATATATTAATCTTAGAACTAATGTAAACCATTTACACTGTACTATAAATATAAATATGTACATATCATTTTGGAAGAAAAATTTTTAAAAAAGCTCATCACCGAACATGATCTTGTTGTCTCTAGTAAAGGTGTAGCAGAGCTACAGACATTTAGAAAAAAATACATTCTTAATAACATAAGTGACAACTAGTACCAGAATGCAAAAATGATTAGATGGCCTGAAAAACATTTTTCCTTTCCTTCTCTGGCATTTGCACAACCTCTGAATACTTTCATGTCAAGATCAAGTTTTTTCAAGAGGAAAATATTTCTTCCTTTCATGAAGAACAAGTGAATGTAACCTCCGAAATAATAGGCACATATTCACATTTATAAATCATTTACAGTTGCCTTCAAGAATTCAAGTGTTTTGGAAAACAAACCTACTGTATATATTATTTGGAGTCTTGACAAGCAATTGTAAAAGGTATTTTAAATTATACTGATACAGTACTTGTGTATGATCCCTTTAAGTGAGACTATTTTAAAAGACTGTTTTGATGGATCTTTGTGAACCACATATAAATATGAAGTTAACAACAGCTTTTCTCTTCAATTAATGTCCAAGAATTTTCTCAACAGCAGATCAGAAGTTAAGACTGTTGTGACCCTCTTCGTAGATAAAAATAAGAAAACACTAGGAAATGTGTAATTTGCTGTTTGGGGTGCATAACATGGGCAATGGATATTGACTGGATCAAGTAGGATTCGTTGTTTGTTGACCACATTTGCAGAACATTTTCTGTAACATCACAAAACTATATTACCATTTTCAGTTTAACCAATTCTGCAAATTTCTAAAACAATCAATGTATCACACTGTTCGCAAAATAAAGCTGCCATCACATATTATACATGAAATAACAGTAATTCAGGATTTACTGAACTTTTTACTTCTTGATTAACAGACTTGATATTAAGTGGATGTGCCTTTTAAGAAAAAGAGCAGGGCTAAACAACAACCAAATCCCCTCCAGATTATTTTAATAACATTAATTTCCTTGGTCCAGATGCTGCTGTCATGTTAGTACACGCTTATTAAATAATGTGCTCAGGCACCTACTTAGATCAATTATTTGATGAGCCTGAGTTCTGTTTAACTGGGCAGCTTGTCAGGTTGCAGATTCCCATTGGTTTTTTATCTGTGAAATCTAGCACTTAACTCTGGGAACACCTGTCTTGGAACACAACACTAAACAGGCACAAACCTCTGCAGATGAAACACCTGTGTCATCATTACTGGGACAATGCCAAGCAGTAAAAGGAAAAAGGAGAAGTCTTTACTAACCCAACCAAAAAATATAAAAATGTTGTTCATTGCTTTGCGATGTTTCCCACATCAAAATAGGAAGAGCTGATAAGCTACCTCTTATACTATGATTAATTGAGATCATGCACGTGTTTTAATTATGAGTTTATCTTTTCTCATGAATATTTATTTGCTGTATTTTCTGTATAATCCCAAAGTAAATTAATTTAACTGTTTAAAATAAAAGTTAAAATCCCAGGAAGGGTTTCCATTATTTTATTTTCACATAGACCTTTGCCTACTGCATATTTTATATTTTTTCACAGTACAAGTAAGGAAATATAAATATGGTCTGAATACAATATATTGAGCAGCACAGACAATTGAAGATTTCCATTATTATTTAATTTAAAAAAAATACCACAGCCAGAGGAAAGCTCCACCTTGGTTTTAATGTGTTTCTTCAAAATATCACCTTAAAGTGTGCTCAATAGTTTCTGTAATACCTTTTTATCTACTACAATGCCAGCCTTCTAAAGAGGAAATACTCTATGGAGCCAGAAAAGAGTAGATCAAGCATGTTGATGTTTTTTTTCTCCTTTCTAGATAATACGTATAGACAGACTGAATAATCATTTCCTCCAGAGATCTGGCTTTGAAAGGCTGCTAAAAGCAACCTACCGCGAGGAACACAATAAGACATTATGTTTCCTCTGACAGACCTGCTTCTTGCTTAAAGGAGAATAAAAAAAACACGTTGTGATCTCACCTGCGTAGACAGAATGCCATGATCTACCCCTGTGTTGTGGGTACCAGTTCCAGTTACGCCAGCAGCAGACACCTCTGCCACGGCTCCTAAACTGATGAAACAGAGAGAAATGGGATAAAACGCTGGCTTCCTCAAAAGATTATCTGTGTGACTTCGCATGACCATTTTTCAGGATTTATGGCTGACAGTTCACAGTCTTGGAATATGGCAATATTTTGTTTTTACTGATTTTTTAAAAAAGTAGCTGAAAAGATATTGAATTTGTGTTTCTAGTACTACAAATACAATTGCAATTAAATACTGAGAGTTTAATTATAATTTATAAAGCTATAACTGTTTTCTAATAATTGCTAAACTACTAAAATATCTTACATTCTTGTTAAGGGACAAATATTAAGGGCTAGGAAATGTCCTGTATACTTTCAAACTGTGTCCAGGTATGGATATTTCAAATTGTTCTTCTCTGTGGCATAGAATTATTTTTTACATTACTATTTTTTAAATCACGTGTAATTAGTATGTGGTGTAAGTATTCTATACTGTACACTATATTCCCAATAGAAATGCTTTATGGGTATTTTTGTATTCTCCAACTGAAAATATCATGTAAATCAGATTCTTTGATAGCAGTATTACAGCAAGTCTATGGAAATAACCCACCTTTGGGTTCCAGCTTTGCAGGATTTCCCTTAAGTTCTTTACTTGCCTGATGTACATCAAATCTCCGACCCTTTAGTATTTTAGTGCCCCTTGTTCCCCATATATTATTTAAACCTCATGCCTCTGAAGCTCAGGGATCTAAACTGGAAGACGGAGGCCCAGAGGTCTGGAGGCCCACCTAGCATCTACAGTAGTTGCCTCACGTCCGCGGCTTGAGGGCAGAGGCTTCAGAACTGCGTTCAGCTGAGTACGGGGCTTGGACTGCCTGGCCTCGTTACCCTTCTTTTAAACTTTCTTGTTTCTGCTTCCATGTCCCCATTCCCTGTTTTTATTTGTGTCTTGTCTTGGATGGATCTCCTGGTTTTGGATGGACTGTGCCCCGGTTTTCCTATTTGGACTGTTTTGGACTCGTTTGTGCGTGATCCTCCCATGCACCTGGATCACTATCAGCACTGCCCCCTGTTCGCCATCCCTTCCGTTCCTCACTGTATTTTCCCTGTAGCTCTTCTCCAGTCTCTTCCGGATTATACCGTCTGCACAGGGTCCTAAACTACGCACTTCACGGGAGTCACCGGCTCCTGTTACACCGCTTCACATTGCAATGTTCCTGGCAACAACACTCCCAGATTGGGAAAATATTCCCTTTGATGTGTCACATTACTTCATTAATGTAGTTTACTGACGAACCATTTAGCGTTCACACTTTTCTTTTTTTCCCACACATACAGTATATTGTCATTGTGTCAGAATTGTTTTGGCATTTCAAACTCAGGAGGATATATGTAAACTCTGCTATCTTCTACAGACATACTGTAGCACAGCCTCTCATATTATACTCAAAACAGGTTACTGATTAGAAACAAAAATGTGGCTTGCATTCACAAACGTACACTGTATACAGTATGTAAAGAATGTTGCTGAAGTAAACTTGTATTTTTTCATAGAAATTGAAAACTAAGTTGAATACATTCCAGTAGATTTAAGATACAAAGGCATAAACAAAAAAAAAAGCTTAGTATTTTCTCTCCAACAAATGTGAGAATGTACTGTAGCAGCAAGCTACAGTGTTTGTAATAAAGGCTATTCTGAAGCAGATCTGGCAGCTTATGAAAGGTGTTCAGCAAAGTCTGTGGCCATGCCCATAAAACATGCTGGAAACAGGCTACTGAAGGAGAAATAACATGAAATATCACGTTACTTTTTTATTGTTAAGTGTCAAATTAACTGTTATTTCTGTTATGTTTTACGTTCCAAATTTCGTCGAAACCTGACAAATCTTATTTTAAGACATCACCTGTTAAAGTTTATTGAGGGTGCATATTTTTTTGAAAAGTGTTTTATTCCTGATGGTTTTGTTAATGTGTTCATAGCAAACTGAAATTTGAGGCATATGGGACAATATAATGTTGAAAACATAAAAGGCTGGATTCAATGTAATGCCCAAATCATGAGGCTTAAATTCCATGTTGTACTTTCTACTGATTTTGAGATAAACCAGAACTCAACATGAAGTTAGAAGTTACAAATTACAACCCTGTTTCAGCCTTTTAGTTTTACCACCTAACATATCTTACATAACGTGTTTCACTATTAGAATAAAGACGTAGTTTTAATTTCATTAATGTTCGTGCCCTGAGTATGTGGATCACTGGGCATCAGATATGCTTTTATATAAAAAGTAAATATAATTGTCTTTAATAGATGATACATAAATTTAATTTCTATAATATATGGAAATATAAAGCTGTCACATCCGACATCCCTCCCTAGAGGGCGATTCACTACTCCTGTTATTGTTCCTGTGATTAAGCTTCCCAGGTGTACCTCCTTAGGTGTATTATTAAAAGACTAGCTCCTCCAGTCCTTGGGGCTCATCATTAGGGTAACGATGTCGCAACCCCGACTAGCACCAGGAAACCCTACGTCCGTCTCCTGAGGGCATAGGCCTCATCCCCGACACCTCCCGCTTCCTGAGCCCGGGGTCTGGAGGATCTCACCCCGTCACCCTTGGACCTCCGTGTTTTGTCTGTTCGTGTTTTCCCCCTTCCCGGGGATTTTAACGTTGTCGCTTCCCAGGATGGATTACTCGCTGCTGGACTCCCGGACTGTGCCCTGACCTGCCTTTGGACCCATTTGGATTTGGATGCCATTCTTTGTCTACCCTCTTCACTGTCTCACGGACTGTCACTATTATTTTGTGCACTATTAAACCCCTGTGTGTTCCCTTTTACCACGCCGCCTGTTTTCTCCAGCTCTTACCGCATCGCATAGGGTCTAGTACAAGACCTGACACAGATCTCAGTCCGTGGCCGTAACAAGAGCACGATTAGAGAAGCCATAGCACAGATATATACAAGTGACAAAACGTTCTTCTTGAGCTTCTTTTTGATTAACAGGAGTGCAAGAACCCATGACTGCTGTGTAGAGGCTCAGCCAAGTTTATGATATTATTGCAAAACTCAGTCTGTGTTATCTAATCGAAACTCTATCACAGCAGCTAGTATTTATCACATCTGATCTCTGATGTTATGTCTCAGCTTTGGGGATTTAACAAATTCCAAATACAAGAGCTGTCACAAATCATTACTAATACATTTCAACATCTCTCTAGAAATCTGTTAACGTGGGGATATATTTAATCTCCAATTACTGAAAGACTAGCACCTCATATTCGCAGATGTGTTTTTTTTTTCTACAAAGGGAGAAAACCTATCATGGTCAAGTGTAGGCAGATGAAAAAACTAAGCTGAGCATATCCTGTAGATTTTAAATTACTAGGCATTGAGTAAACGTCCTGTCTCCCACATGTACAACAATTTACTATTTTTGTAGGCTATTATATTTGCTCTCATAGTTTTACTACTTCCACTCCACTAACAATTCCAAGAAAATGACAAGCTTGAAAATGAATAAAAGGTTGTGTTATTATAAATCATTTTCTTAATGTAGAAAATTCTACATTTAAAAATGTAGAAACATGGTACAACAGAATGTTTTATGAAAAAAATTGAAGTAAAGTTTGCGGCTAAAAACAATGTCAACAAAAAAGAAATTTGAAAGAAGGGCTTTGTACATGACATTCTTTTTAATATTAATGACAAAATCTATATCAGATGAAGGCTGATTGATGAAGAGGTTCAGAATCTCAAAATGACACTGATCGCATTCATCTGTTCTTGAACAAGTCTTTTGTTGGCAAGTGGAATTCAAGATTTTCAGTCTTCTCTTCAACACAAGATGAATATAGACAAAATATATACATTAGTAAACTGTACAAGATGTATTTGTTTTCATCTAAGCATAAAATGCTTTGCAATTGAGTATTAAGTAGTGTATGATATAAATGCAACTTCTTCTAAGTTTGCATTTATGCCATATACTGTACACCATTGTCTTTGAGAACAAATCTTAAATTATCAACTATAACCACCAATGATACCTTTTTCTTGTACAGTTCTGAAAATTTAACCTTTGAATATTTTACCTATCTTGCATAAGTGTTCAATGTAGTTTGAGAGAGTGTCTAACTGATAATGTAATTTCAAGATGTAACTGTTAGCATCTACTCTGCTCACATTTCTGGGTGCCATATCCCTTTCTTAGAGCAATTTTTCTTTCTTGCATTGGGATACATAAATGTGTGCACCACACATGTTAAATCATAAAATTATAAGTTATACTGTTCTGGTCAGTATTTTTTCCAAGGGGATGCACACAGTGAAATGTCCATACAGTATGTCATCGAGTCTCATCCATACATGAGCCATATTTTATTTTAATCCTGTTTACTGTACCTTTCTACCTTTTAGTGCTTTGATCAAAATCCCACTGTACAATTATGTCTATGGAAAAAAGCAGCACCTCCTCTTGCTGCTAAATCAGACAGAAAGCACTGTAAAATGTCTTCCAGGAAGAACTGACTGATGATTGAGAGAGTTTTAGTGGTGCATGTTATTGGGAATGCTGGCCAAGACAAATCTATGCATTATCACACATAGGACTTTGCCATTAATACCAAGGCAATGGAACTTACTACTTTTGTCAATGCTGTTAAAACAGACATACATTCAGACACAAGTCGTAAGTTTTCAGTTTATTCACTGAACTTGGGAAGTTAATCACCATTTTCAGTTACTTCACTCTCTGTGGCTAAGTCTCTGTACCTGTGGCTGGAAGGCTACCGATTCAAATCCCCAGGCCAGCAGAGGAATCCTACTCCGATGGGCTCCCTTAACCCCAGCTGCTTCAGGGGTGCTGTACAATGGTGATCCTGAGCTCTAACCCCAAGCTTCTCTCCCTGTCTGTGTGGCTGTGTGTCTCATGGAGAGCAAGGCGGGGTATGCAAAAATCCAAAAGTATTGTAAATATTATTTTTTTTTTGCCTTTGTCTTCTCATGTCAGTGCTAATAATCAAAATATAGTAAAAGGCCT